TTTCCAGCAGTTCAAAATCGCCGAGGACGACAGAACATTTCTTCGTTTTCTGTGGCCGCTCGGCGTCAGCGAAAATCCCCACGCAAGGGTCCAGGAGTTTCGGGCCAAGAGATTGGATTTCGGCCTCGTCTGTTCTCCATACTTGCATTGCCGAGGGGTGAAGATGCATCTGGAAGAATGTCAAAAACACTTCCCGGAAGACAGAGAATTCATCTCTGAGATTATGCAGCATATATACATGGACGATGCTATATTAGGATCAAACTCGCTCCAGGAAGCGAAATACAGGATCCAAAGAGCATTCCTGTTCTTCGACAGAGGTTCCTTCCCTCTGAAGAAATGAAAAAAATCCAATTCACAAGAGCTCGGCGATTTCATTAAGGAAATCTCCACCGTTCCAGAACCGATCGTCAACGTCAGTCAACCGACAGCTAAATTCCTCGGGATCCCATGGAATCAACAGGCAGACGTTCTCTCGGTCCCCACGGAAAAGGCATTGAAGACGCTGAAGGCAGGCGACCCTACGAAAAGAAGATTACTCAGGGGACTAGCCAGCATTTTCGATCCGCTAGGCATAATAGCTCCGTTGGTCATGAATTCGAAAATTCTCCTGCAGACGCTGTGGAAAGCAAAGCTCGGCTGGGACTCGGTTCTCAAAGACGGACAAGCCGAGGATTATCGCTCCTTCATAAGTTTAATAGAGGAAGCAAATAATCTTACCGTCCCGAGACACATGTTTCCCCAATCCGCGAGAAAGAAATCGTACCAGCTCCACGTGTTCTGTGACGCGTCACTGAAAAGCTTTGGATGTGTCGTGTACATCCGAGAAGTAGCGCCCGGGGAAAGACCAAAAATCTCGTTCGTCGCGGCGAAAGCGAGAGTAGCTCCGGTGAAACAGTCAACGATTCACAGACTTGAATTACTGGCGGCACTCATCGGAGCTCGGCTTTCAGGAAATATCATCGCCTCAATAAACCCGCCGCCAATATCAACACACTACTACTCCGACAATTCGAGCGTGATCGGATGGATCCGCTCCAGGCCAGAAAGCTTTCGGCCCTTCGTCGCAAACAGAATTCGCCGAATCCAGGCGCTCACGAACAATGCAAGATTCAACTACGTGAGAAGCGCCGAGAATCCAGCGGATATCATTTCAAGAGGATACGACATTTCCAGGCCGGAGACGAGGAAACTCTGGTTCTCGGGACCGGAATGGCTCCAACACGATGAAGAACGACTCGGTCAGAAAGTGGCCACAGAAAACGCTGCACTCTCTCGGAGGACCGATATAGCTGTCTCAGATCCCGAAAGAAAACCGAAGGTCTCGACTTGCTTGAGCGCGGTACGAGATCACACCGTCTCGAAACACGACGTTTCCTTCGAGAACACATTTTCATCGTGGCGGAAGAGCGTTCGATTCTGGTCTCTCATGTTACGCCTGAAGGAGAAGGCTCATCTTGCTCGGCAACGCATACTCAATAAAGAGAAAGCGACGCCAACAGGAAGAAGGTTCAATGAAATCGATGCCTCGGAGATGATATCAGCGAGATCAAGCCTCATACAGCTTATTCAGAAAACACACTTCACGGAAGAATACGAGAACCGCTGCACGAATATAAAGAAGACGAGCGTTCTCTATCAATACACGCCATTCTCAGACTCAAAAGGCTTCATCAGATGCAGAACCAGATTAGAGCGATCTCGCGACCTCACGGAAGATGAAAAATATCCGATATTACTTCCAGCAGACTCTAATCTGTCGTCGCTAATCGTGAAGGACATTCACGAAAACAGATGCTTCCATTCAGGTGGAGTCTCAGCAATACTCCACGCCCTCAGGGAAGATTTCCTATTGATACACGCTCGGCGTATCAGCAGGAAGATCATTAGCAAATGCCAGTTATGCAAGATTTTCAACAGCAAGGCAGCGCAGCTCCCCACACCGGCATTACCATCATTTCGGATCGAGAGGAGTCCACCATTCCGCCACACGTTGGCCGACTTCTGTGGCCCTTTCCGTTACAAACGAGATTCGGGCGAAGTCGGAAAAGCATATATATTGATCTTCACTTGCGCCGTATCAAGAGCAGTCTACCTGGAACTCACGACGGACTTGTCTACAGCGGAGGTGCTCGGCGCCCTTCAGAAATTCGTAAACCGATTCCCCTCCGTTCGTTTCTTACTCAGCGACAATGGAGCTTCCTTCGTCAGGGCAGCAAAGGAATTGAAGCTCATTTACGAACATATCAAAGAAGGAAACATCAAGAGATGGCTAGCAAATTCCTTCATCGAATGGAAATTCGCCACTCCCGCGGCACCTTGGACACAGGGGGCAGTTGAGCGCATGGTACAGTCAGTCAAACGACCACTACGTAAAGTGCTCGGCACGAATATCCCACACTTCAGGGATTTCGAGATCATTATTTCGGGCATCGAATCCATGATCAATCGACGACCAATTACAACAGTGGCCTCGGGCACGGACTCTAGGGAAGCGCTCAGCCCAGCTAACCTCATTTACGGACATTCAGGGGACTCTATATTCCCGCAACACTCTATCAAACCGATCAACCCAGTGGATGCCGACAAAATTGTTTTCTCGAAAAGATGGCTATATCAGCAAAAGATCATGAATGCATACTGGAAAAGGTACCAGAAGGAATATCTACTTCAGCTCCGGACAGCCCACAACAGACTACCGTTGGAGGCTCGGCCTTTAAAGATTGGGGATATTTGTCTACTAGAAGATTCGAATCACAACAGAGCGTTATGGCCACTATGCAAAGTCGTCTCATTCCCGGAACTGGCCCAAGCTGGAAAATCAAGAACGTGCACGATCCGGACAGCTAGGGGCCAGCTACTGACCAGACCCATCAGGAATCTATATCCCATAGTCTCGGACACACCAGAAACTCAATAGCTACGCCAAACCGATCTCGCCTCCTCGGAGCGATCGAGAGCCTCAACCTTACAGCGAAAAAGAGAACACGTCAAGATTAATCAAAAAAGGGATATTATTGTCGATACCATAATTTTATGGAAGTTCGGCCGGGCCGGATCCCCTGGCTTCCCAGCTGGGAGGCCCAGTACGCCGGGCGTGCCAACGCGCCGTCCGTTCTTCTCTGCGGGCCCGCCGCCGGGCCGTTCGTTCCTCGCGGATCACCTGTCGCCGGACGACCTTGTCATCATGGATTTTTAGAAGCCACGGCCGGGCCTTGGCGATCCAAAGCCGGGCGCGTTCGGCCTCTCCGTCGCTCTCCGTCTCACTGTCCTCCAGCCATGAGGACGGACTGCTGGATTCTGACGTCTCGTCCGGGACGATTCCAAATCGGGCGTACACCCGACGTCGGATGTCGGTGTAGTCGGGGAGTGGCTGGCCGGGCCGTAATAGAGCTTTATAAGCCTCGTACGAGCGGCGAACAACCGCCAACATCTGTTCGGCCGGCCGAGCCGGACAATATTCTAACGGCATTATTTGTTGGGCGCCGGGCGCCTGAATGGTAGCGCCGGGCGCCGAGCGGTCGGCCGTCCGGGCCTCAGAGACCTCCCGGAGGCGGCGGAGGAATTCTTCACACTGCCACGGGAACGGGATGGCAAACCTGGGAGGGGAACTAAGCATAAAGGCACAGCACCGGAGGAACTACGACGGAATGCGAGCATCGGAACAGCATAATTGAAATAAAAGGAAACGCAATAACTCACCGCAGCATGCGCGGCATCGGCGGATACGCAGTAGCGCCGGGCGCCCTGGCATAGCGCTCCGAGAGCCGCACCTCAGTCGACGCGCGAAGATAAGGCGCTCGTTCAGCGGGCGAAAACTCCCCCCAGACGACCAGGGCGATAGCCCGGACATCTGCCTGGTTGTACAACTGTAACACGGGTTCCGCAGCCGAGAGGTCCCGCTGAAATATCCCAAATGGGGACGTCTCCGGGGAACCTCGCCGTCTGGGAGACCACGCGGCAGGTTGCATGTTGTAGCAGGTAAAACACTGGGTGATGTGTATCCGCGAAAGCAAGTCGAGAAAGTGAAGGTCCCTCGTTCGTCGAACGACGTTGCAGCGAGATTTCGAGAGAGGAGGATGGGACCGGAAGGCGCGAAGAAGAAACATGAAGCGAAAAATGTTGAATATAAAGGAAACATCGTACTCCAATTTCGGCGACATCCCAGCACGGCCGGAATTCGAGAAAGCTGGCTTGGGATTTCCTTCCGAAATCCGGGGGGGGAGTGTCACGAACGGGCTCCTCGGGAGCTCCGTTGCGGTGATCGCGTGACATGCACACAACAACAGCACATGCACAAATACGCACAACACCCTCACAACAGAGCCAGGGATGGCACTGATCCCGGTCGTAGGAGCTCGGCTCTCTTTCTCCCTGCCTAATAACTATAACCTTACCATTACGTGTGTAAATCATTTATTGGAGAAAATCATATCATATCGCATAAATAAATACTCCGCGCGGCGATCTGCACTGACAAGTTTAGAGGTTCGCCCTCAGCGAACGGAGATCAGAGACCGAGGCGGAAAACCCATCCGCACCGGAAATCGGTCATCACCATCGATAATCGGGGTCGCCATCTTGATGAGCGATCAAGAGTGAACTAATCCGTCAATTGGTGTGACATCGTGTGCGCAAGCGTTGTCATATTAATAGCTCTAACCGTAGTCGCGATAACCACATTTATCGGACTCGGTCCAGTCTCACAGACGATAAAGTCAGTTGGGTCCCCAGACCCCTCTGACCCGTCTCCGATTAGTTTTTCCTCGGGAAATCATCCCGAGTCAGTGCAGATCACCCGCTCTCGGAGCTAAGAATACATTTCACCGTGTCATTTCTTAGTAGACCCGCGGGGTGTTCCTCATAGCTGTAATCTCGGTGGTCACCTCTAGAACAACTGTGCTTGATGACCCAATCGACACAGTATGAGGAGTGACGACTTTGACCAGACTCGGAGTAACCTTCGGAGTCATAAAACTGCTTGAAGCGGTGATAGTAGAGGATGGTCTAGCTGACGAGGTTGAAACAGACTTCGAAGTGGTGGAAGTGGTTGTAGTAGTAACCTCGCTCCGTTATGTGGAAAACGAGGTCCTTGTTTTGGTGGTCGAGATTGCATGGGTTGCTTCCGCCACCACGAGGTCATGAATCGGCGCTATTTTGATCGAAGGAACCGGAAGAGAAGTTTCCACACCAAATGAAGAGCTTGAAACAGCCATGATACGATCAGGAGAAGCAGCGACCCAATGGTGCTTATGATCTCTCCTATAGTTGTGAGGATCCTCCGTCGTACGAATCTGGCCAGGACTGATCTTCTCGGGCGTCCTTAAAAATTGTAAAATCGGAGTTACTCGGAGAACCTCCTCTGAACGAAATCCGACGATGGATGCAGGGCAAAAACGGCGTGAAACTGTTGAGGACCAGAGTACTCATTGTGATTGGAGTACCCATCTCGGTAATGGTTGGCCTGATCAAGGTTGAAGCCACCTGGGTAGTACTTGACAAAGCTACCGCAAGAAGAAACACAGAGGATGACTGTGAAGAAGCCGAGCCCTCAGGAATAAATTCCCATGACAGAAACAGAGACAAACTAGGTAAAGTAGAATATCTCAACGCCACGGTTGAGGATTCAATTCTGGTAGAAGAAGACTCCGAGCTCGAAAAAGTCGGAGAAAAAAAGCCAAGGCCAGTAGCGCCTACGACACTACCGTGTTATGGGACGTGAAAACGTCTCTCGTCTCTCTCGCTCCAGTCTGGATTTTGTTATCCATCCCTTAGGATTATCTAGTCTACAAATTATTGAAATAGCAATGATGCATGCATTTTAATCAAATCATCGGTGATTTCACTTGATATCTTTCTTCGGCAACGGTTCTTCTCGCGGATTTTCTGTCGGCAGGACTCTGAGTTCCCCGAACTCGCATCTTAAACCTTCTGTTTTCCACCATTTCAAGAGCTCTTCCATATCAGCGTCTTCTGGTTCTTCTCGGGCGAACTTGAACACCGTATTGGTCGTCGCCGTCAGTGATTTGATTCCCCTGTACTCTCTGACGGAAGCATTGGTAATAGTAATGCAGTCTCCTTCAGTTTCATCCAGTTTGTGCGCCTGTTCTGACCATAAATCGAGAGTAACGATCATTCTTGAACTGTGAACCATTGAAGCAAATGTGGCCATCGGATCTCATTCGCACTGAGAGTCAAGAATGCTGTAGGTTTTCCGAGCTGACGAATCATCGCGAACAGATCCTTTTTCCTCGATGACCAATACTGCATCGAGTTGGGAATAGTTTTCATGAAGGCTTGATTTGTCTCCACCAAATGTTCCACGAATTGTCGATCTTCTATCATGGATCTAGTCAGCTGTGCTGTAGTCCGTAGGCAACGATACATATTCTGAATGCCATCACGAATCCGGAAACGGAGGATTTTCATTGCCATGAACAGCACATGCTGGGGGGTAACACCTCGTCGATCAGATCTTCTTATTTCTGACGTACACATAGTGTAAGATGTTGCTCGAACCCCGTCCTTGATTTTCCGTCCAACACCGAAGTATATCGCAGGGAACGAAAGCTCCTCTGCGAATGTGTCAAAAAGAATGCACTCGGGTGTTTTGTGCTGGCCTGGAGCGATATCTAAACAGAGATCCTCATTCCACAACATTGTTTGCTGTCGTAAATTGATCAGCTCTGATTCCGGAGCATCATCGGTGCGGATAGACTCAACATGATCGGATCCGTCATCCCGTGTTCCGCAATTCGGCAACGACTCATCAACAACTTCAGACCAATTTACCCTGATACCATAGTATTTGTACAAAGGCTGCTCAACTAGATATTCCAGCCAGGCCTTCACGGTGGACTTTTTGACGAAGCCACTCAGATAAGAGGATTTATGGATGATGCTTTTTTTAAATTGACGTTGAAAGAGTGATCGTCTTCCAATGATCGCGGTAAACTCTGTACCATCGTGTTGACATCAACTGGGACATTGATGACTTGACCGACAATACCGTAACAACCGTCACGACGCAAACGGCGTATTTGCATGTAGGAATTCTCGGGAGACAAGTCGCTCGCTTATGGGGTCTAGCTGAGGCAAGCCTGATGGTTTTGGTGGATACCTATAGCCATTCGTCACGCTCATCGGCGGAACTTTTGTCGCGCCGAGATGTGCTGTAACATGAGGAACAGAGCCGAAATCGCGTGGTATCGTCCTCCGGGAAGTGAGTCGATAGGAAGGTCGCCATCGAAGAGGTGACCGTTTTCAGATCACGGAGGAACCAGAGGCGATCACAGACGTCGCATTTATGGCCGAATTCATTCTCCATAAAGATTTGCTTAAAACGGCCAGTCGCTCGAGACCACCCGATTTCGTACTCTGCACCTCGTGTAAAATCAGTAGCCTCGACGAGGTCCGTCTCACATACCTCTGGATCGAATGACATTGCGTCACTTTCTGTGATCGCCTCTGACTCGACATGATCCGTCCCCGTATGACTCGATCCTGGTGCGTGACGTTGTCGCGCCCGACCATGACGCCGATCTCTCTGAGGAGGTTCGGGGTCTCTTACGGGAAGATTCTCCTCTTTCTGCGCGACGCTTCCGTTGCTGTAAACTACGAGTCTTCGGCCTCATGATGAGCATCCGATCGACATCGTTATTCGTAATCGCTCGAAATCGCACTCCGTTAGGTGTGGAAATCCTGCCCCGATCCCCATAGCCTCACCCCTTGAAACGCTTCTGCAGCCCTCATATTTTGGTACAAGCCTGATGCTCAAAGCGGTGCATTTGCGAGTTGCGATTGTGAGGAGAGAAGCGATAGGAACAGAGAGCCCGTCAGTGATCGCGATAGTCAATTCTTCTCTGACTACGCTTGTGTCGATCGGTCAGTACTCAGTACTTTGAGTCGAAATCATCGATG